TAGGTCTGGGCAGGGTGTAAGACTCCATATTTATAACAAGCTTTGAGGTGTGCTGATGTTGCTAGTTGCAGATCACATTTTGAGTGGCAAGGTTGTAGAAAGACCTTGAAGAATAACATTCAGAAGCCCCTAAATGGTACTATAATTGCCCCCTTCATTTTAGAAAACTGGGATTTTGTTTTTATCTTTGTTTGTAACATAGATTGAATAATCACTGTGTGTGAAGTACTATTCTAAGTGCTATGGGTTATACAAGAAATGGCACTTTCCCCCCAAATTTGATTCACGTACTCTTTTCATTTGAATATCTTATGCCAACCTCCCCCCTTCTTTCTCCCAGCAAGTCTTGGGGAGCCGAATTTATGAGCTCTCTATTTAGCGACATGATGCCTGGTTCAAAAAGCCAAGTGGTTTCTGGAAATGATTTTGAATGTGTCATCTGTCTCCACTGGTGCACAAGTGTCACCAGGAACTTTGAGGAGGAAGGCAAAGGGAAGCCTGAGGTCAGGCAGGCTGCGGATGCCAGCTCTCCCACCAACAGGCCCAGAACCAGTTTCTGTCTTAGGTTCCTTTGTGGGGAACTTGCTGGAACTACTAATTCATCCTGCTGCTTAAAGCCTGTTGTCATGCACTCCAGGACTACTTTCAATACCTAAACTGGTTTTGGTGATATTTTACGTGCCACAGAATGTAAAAGCAGTCATGTTTTTAAAACTGCCTGAAAAAGTCTAGTAATTATTGTTCCAACAAACCTCACTTTCTCCTATTTAGACTGTCTAACCTGGAAAAAACAAACAAACAAAAATTCTCAGATGAAAGGTCTTTCGGTGTGCTATGTTCGCCTGGTTGGCTCTGGGTCTTCTGGGGATGGAGGGTCCCTGCCCCTACCTCCAGCAACATCACCCCTGTCTCCAAAGAAGCAGCAGCCTCTGGTGGAAGAACATATTTATATTCACAGCGTTCTGCTTTTTATGGTTTGAGAGAGGGGGTGGGTGGTGGGGTATAAAGGTGAATTTTTGTGTGTGTGTAATCTAAACAGTAAATGAAGTCTTACTGTAATCTCTTCACTGAGCTCATGGAAAAACTCAAGTCATCGAATGTTAGTTTTACGGATGAGGGAAGTGAGGCCCAGTGAGTTTGCTAGACTTGCCCCAGAGTTCCTAAATCTTGCTAGAGAGCTGGAACTAAATGGCAGAGCTCCCAGTCTCTCACATCTTTCCTAGAAGTTGTGATGTAGCCGAATTCTACTGGTCTCAGGGGAAACTTCTGCAATTTAGCCTGAGCTTGGATCTGTTTGGGTGCTATTCAATATCCTATGCAAGCAGTCAAGTTGAAACAGAGAAATCTTTTACTTCCAATCAATAAAATAAGCATTATCAGATGCTCAAAATTGTGATATATTTTTATTGACACCTACTATACAGAACAACTACTGGGAGATGTAATAATAATAGCAATACATATTTATTGGCCATTTTACTTGAATCAAAAAAAAATCTATCTTAGAGTCCTGTGAAGTCAGGTTTATTACCATCTCTAGGAGGCTGAATAATTTTCCTGAGGTCACACATCTACTAAGTAGCAAGACTGACCTTTGAACCCAAGTCACCTGCCCCTGGAGTCTACACTCAACAACATTGCTATATGCATGCCATTACTCAGGCCAGGCTGCAGTCACCCAGTTGATGCTGACCGGGGGATCCAAGTTACCCATCTAACCATCAGGCAAAGTTGTCAAAGGCTGCTTCCTGCCCTCTGGAAGGGCCTACACTTCCCAAAAACTTCCTTTCATGACCTTCTGGCTGTGACCACCCCAATTTTACAAAAGGGTTATTTGACAGAAGCCCATACTCAGATGCCAACTCATGGTGGCCACTGTGTTTTGGACCCTCACCTGGCCAAGCCAACCTTCCCAGCTCCTGATCTTAGCATCCATTCACCTTGACTCACTGAATCGGGTCATTGCCAATGAAGCCTCTCTCTTCACAGGATCCCTGGCTGGACACGAAGTCAGCAGATAGAACTTTTTAATGTGGAAATCGCAGTTCTTCCTATTATGTTCTCTGAATTTTCTTCCTTGAGGCTCCAGGAAACATAATGATAATAAACAACACAATGAGGAAAATGATTCATAGACAAGGTGCAGCTTACTCCCAGGAGCCTAAACTCAGAACTTATCCATCATGAGCAGTGTTCTCCTCTCTGAAAAAGTTGTTTTGGAGAAAATCCACTTATTCTAGACCAAAGTATATGCTTGAAAGTCCTCACCAGTGAGCAGTATGAGCACCTTCCGGAGAGAGGCAGGACAAAGAGAACATTTCCCCAAAGTGGCAGAGCTCCCAGCGCTGGGATTGGCCCCCACACGTAGCCGAGGAGTAAATGTCCCTTCTCTCCCTTCTGGCAAGACAGGGTGGGGGAGGAAGCAGAGTGGTCATCGGGGAATAACTTGCCTCTCCCCAAGGTCAGAGCCACCTCAGAACATTTCCTGGCCTGCATTGCAAAAGACACAGGCTCAGGTTAGAATGTTCTAGGAGATTTTCTATATACAGACTTATAGATTCTGGTTTCCTGAGTGTCAACCGTATTCCAGGAACTTCTCATTGATGTAGCCCAGCTTGAACTTTCTGTTCCACCTGGCAATAATGGTAGCTTTCTGAAATTCAACTCTGCTATGGCCTCTCTCCCTGGGCCTCTGTCCCTTCAGGGTTCCTTCTCTGCCTGCCCCTCAGCCTTTTCAATCTCTCCAGACGGGTGCCCCCCTAGCGTCTAGCCTGCCATCTTCTCCCTTTCTTCCCCCTCCTCTTCCTCCTCCTCTCTGCCAACACATGCTACTGAGGGAGCTCCTCCAGTCCATGACTTTAGCAACCACCTGCTAGTGGGAGTGACTCAAATCTGCATCTGCAATCCTCACACCTCTTCTGAACCAGGCCTGTGAATGCAGCACCCTCCTGGAAACGCGGGTGGCTTATCATGTACAATGTGAACACAGGTGGAGTCCCTTTCCTTACACACCCAAGTGTGCACCTTCACCAGTGTGCCCTCACAGGCATCCGGTCCTGCCAGCAAAGAGTCTCAAGGTTAGCCCTGACTTTTTCCTCCCTATCTTTTACCCCCCAGGTGTAGGCAATGCTGGCTACTAAAATATCTGTTACACCCGTCCCTTCCTCGCCACTCATGCTACACTCCCTCAACCAGACCCTCATAGCTTTATGTCTTCAGTACCCTCCGCCTCTCCCCAACGCCCAAGGAGTTCTGCTCCTGTGCCTCTCCTGGCTCCCATCCCCTCACTTTCGTTATCCCTCTCCCTCCCGTGACACTCCTCCTTCCCACCTTCTTTCTGTCAGCATTCTAACCTTTCCAAGCCTCTCTTGGCCTTTTATTTCCCTGGATTCCATCCTAACTCTCCCCTTTCCTTATCAGACAAGCTTCTGGAAAAGATTATCTACAAGCTACTCATCTCTTAATCAAACCACCACAATCTGGCTGGGGCCACCCTGCTCTCACAGCCAAGTCCCCAGTGACCTCTGTTGCAGACATAGCGGGTGCTATTGGGATCTGTCCTCTGTGCAGCGTTCCTCACTGTCAGCAGCATCCTCTCCCTCATGACAGCCCGCACTCTTGTCACCTGTCATGGCCTGCATGGACTGCTGTCTCCCCATTCCTCTCTCCATCACCTGCCATCGCCCACCTCTTGCTCCCCATGGCCTTGTGACTCCCAGGTGTGACTCTCTATCCCACGTCCCTCGCTCAGGCCCCAGATCCTCTTATCCAGCTTCGACTCCAGGGGATGTTCCACCAGGGTGAAGCACAAGTACCTCAAACATGTACCACCCTCCACCACGATGCCCAGGACACAGACACCATCATCACCCTTGACTCTTCTTTCTCCCCCACTCCTTCAGCCAGCCTCCAAATTCTACACAGTATATTCTCTCCTACACCCCTCACATTTGCCTACCTCTCTCCAGTCCTGCCTCTACCACATAGTTCAAGCTCTCACAGCGTCCCTTTCTCGTCACCTGGTCTTCCTGCTTCCTTAAGTTTGTCATGACACTGACCATGTCATCTACCTGCAGCTGCCTACAGCTGGGGTCTGGACCCTGCTACACTCCTTTCTTCCTCCCATTCCTTTGAGTTCCCTGAATGCATGACTCAGTAACCCTAACTTCTTCCTGTCCTTCGGTCCTAGGAGCGGGTGTCACCTCCTCTCAAGGCCCAGCCACTCCTCTCCATGGCACACTGATGGCTTGGCCCATGGACCTCTCGCATGTAAGCTTTTTCAGAAAGGTCCTGGGTTTCACTCACTTGTCCATCTGTCTGCCCAGGGCTAGCAGCACCAGGTAACTGACGGGTGATTCATATGTGCTTGGGTGAGTACTACCTTCCTTCCGTGTGACTATCTGTTTACGTGCCTTGAGCTCCTCCAGGGCAGGAATCTTGCCTTTTCTCTCTCTTTACAGCATCCATCTGGCAGGTAGTGCTGCAGACATGTTTACTGAAGTATGGAATGAGTGAGCACCTAGGTGAGGACCCCGCCCTTCCCCACTGTTCCAGGAGCAGCTTAGAGCCTAACAAAAAGTGCCCTGAATTTTTTTGGCTTGTCAATCACAAGAGTTACTCCTTATCTGTTTTTCAGTGAGCATGACTCATGGGGGTCCTGGGGGAAGGCGTTAGCTCCTGGACGGGGCAAGTCCGATGGGCCACAGTGTTGTGGAAATCAGCACTGCCTTCCCTGTCGCTTCCTGCAGCGTTTTTCAGCCTCGAGGAGCTCAGGGCGTGCAGGACCTGAGGACCGAGTGGAGTTTGAGGCGCGCCTGAGAGACTGCGGTCTCTCGCCCCCAGGGCCCCCCTTTTGGAAGAAATCCCTCAGGCGGCCTCCTTGGTGCCAGGGAGCCAGTGGCGAGGCGCGGGCTAGTGGCGACGGAAAGAGCTGAGAAGACCGCGAGCCGGGCACAGGGGGGCGCGGGTGGGAGGCGCAGG